AAGAAATGCAGCTTGCAGGGCACAGGACTCTGTCCTACTTGGGCTGGTCCCAAAGGTGAGAGTTTAATACCATGCCTTTTGAGAGCTGAGCGAGGGTAGTGTCTTATGCTTTAATGCTATTTTAGTGTCCTTAGGTGAGAAGTCCTCAAGTTAGGTTTAAGTACTTGGAGCAGTCTTAATTCTCCATGGAACGAGTATTTCTGTATGTGAAAAGAAAGAAAAATGTAAGACTTTGTAAATACCCTAACCCACAGCCTGTTGACAGACTTTGGACCGGCTTTGGGTTTTGCAACTTTCTTGCCAGGCTGTTGCCTGCTGCAGCGGCTGCACCCTCCCCAGTGCAAGCTGGTGCTCCTTCCCACCGCTTGTGGGAGGCAGTAGGCTGGGCAGAACAGCTGTGTTGTCTTGGCCCCAGTGGCTGGATCTTGCTCTCTTCATGGTGGATACTGAAGTGGATCTGAACGGTCAAGAGCTGGGCGAAGAACAGGAAATTGTTTGTAAGCAATGTTGATAGTGGGAGGGGAGGTGCCCTCTGCCACGGACAGGCACTCCCAGGCAGAGCTTGGAAGCACTTAACTTGAGATACATGATTGTTGTTCCTGCAGGTGCCCCAAGCATTGGTTACATCTCCAAATGTCGTTCTCTAAATAGGCCAATTTAGTATTCAAGTATCTTATTAATGTCTGTCTAAGGAGCATAGGACATGCCTCTGCATGTTTGTATGCACACCTGCAGCCTCGCACCTTTGACTTTTGATGTAGCTCCCAGCACTTCAGATCTGTGTGCACAAGGTGAATCTCTAGCTTAACACAGGGCAAAAAGGCAGACCTGTCAGATGGCCAACTCTTGTGCACCATTAGGTCAAGCTGGTGCATTTTCCTTGTTTGTAGTTCTCCATTTAGCTCCGTGGTGGAAGTTAACAAATGCAGTGCTTTTAAAAGAGTCTCAGATTCTGCACAACACTTAGTTGCTTGACAGTGGGAAATGCAGGAGAGTTTCAAAGTTGGACAGTAACGACAGGACCAGGAGACAAGCAGGTGATAACATTTTGCTCTGAATTGCTGCCACCAAGTTTTTTCTTGCTGTGATTTGATATCATCACACTGGATATTTTTTTTTCCCCTGCTCTGAAAATGAGTTGTCAGAGCAAGAGGAAACGTAAGAAATGGCACTGGGAGATGGGATTTCAGGAAGCAGGTGACCTGGCTGTGATTAGGAAGAGACCCCTCCCTTGGGTTCTCTCTAGGGAGTAAGCCTCCAGTTGCCAGTGTGCCTGCATGAGGTGAAGTCCTGTGGGCTTGTCAGTGATCTGGTGGAGAGCCTCCTGGGTTCTGCCAAAGCCAGTGGCAAATAGCCACTTCTGGCAAATAGCCCCTCAAACACGTACCTGGTTTATCCATCTCATAGAAATAGAGATGTGCTTTGAGATGGGCAGGGTGAAATGTAAGAGAGAAAGATTAAAGACATGTTGACATGTGAATAAATATAGAAGTGTTACAAAATGGTTAGGGATGAAGGTTGGTGTCAAAACTGACTTACAGCAAAGATGAGGAAAAAGTGGTGTATTTTGTTAGTAAGAACTGGATGGTCCCTGATTCAAATGCCAATTTCAAGCACCATTGATTATACTTCACACTGGTGAACAGCAAAACTCTTAGAACAGCAAAAAATGCAATGTTTTGAAGTGAAAAGTGTTGGCTGCTTTTTAAATTTTAGGCAGAATTTACTGCTACAGAATCTGTGCTCATGGTAACTGAAAGCTTAAAGTGGAAATGCTCTGAATTTTGTGGATTGATTTTTTTAATGCTTCTCCTGATGTAAAAAATCCTAATTTTTATATCAGAGTTTTGAAATATAAATATGTATTAGAATTTAAAACTTTTATCACAGACTGATTTAAAATCCAACAGTTTTTGTCAGAAATACTTGTCTAGAGTGGCTTCTGCCTGCATGTATTTAAAACACCTCTTGATAAATTTCTGGAATTTCTTGAAAAATATGCTTGCCCTTTTTTTATGTATTTTTTTAAATGCAGTAGTCACGGGGAGGCTGCAGTTTCTGCTTACGTGTTTACTTCATTGCTCCTCTTCTTATCCTCCCACATTCTACTTCTATGAAAAAAGGAAGTACAGCATTAGGGAGATAGGCTATTTTCAGTGAAATGAAAGGTGTAATTGTTTAAACAAAAAGCAGAACAAATAATGAATTTTAAACTAAATAACTTTAAATTGTCTCTCCAAGTTTCTGTGTATTCAGGGGGGTAAATATTTTTGTTGCTTGTTCTAGGTGTATGGCTTATAGATAGAAGACTTCAGGGAAACCGTTTCACTCCTTCATAGTTTGAGAATAGCCTTTGTGGGCATTTGTAGAATGTATGCCTAAATGTAAAAGAAATCTAACTGTGGCCAAAATGACACATTCACATATACTCGTGTATCTTTGGCATGACTGGTAGTAAAGTGCGGATGTACCTCTAAGAAATGACCAGCAATGGCTGTTACTTCATGGCTGCATTCCTTCTGTCTACAGACGGCTGCAGAAGAGTGAACTTGGATCCTTCGTCACAGATTACTTTCAGGTATTACACAATTTGCTTGCTTGCTTTTGAGGTTTGCTCTCTTCAGCTTTTTAACCTGTAAAAATCATTAGGACCCTTTTTACATACACATAGCCTACAAGTTTCATTTTTGTTTTGCTAAAGAAGATTATGGTGGTACTGGACTTTTTCAATGTGGGCCATAGAGCCTTGGGAGTAATCATGTTTATGGATGTATGTGCAAAATTAAGGATAATCTTCCTTTGTGCTTAGGAAGAGCTGCTAGGATTCTGCAAAGTGAAGAAGGAATTCGCTTCAGCTTTTTAAAGAAAATCAGATACCTTTTCATAGATTTTTTTCACTCTATTTCTCTATTATAGAGAATTCAGGATAAAGTTTTCTGCAACAGGGGCCAGCAAAGGGGAAGAGGAAAGATAATGGTTGTCTCTATTGCGGGAGGGCGGGGGACAGAGAAGGAAGTCCCTATCAGCAGGGAA